CTGGTCTCCCCTCTGTCCCCACAAGCCTGTCTACAGACATTTCATTGCCAGCAACTACTGCTGCACGCTGTATTGTTGTGCAATTGATAAATAAACTTTGATTTTATTTTGATTTGATTACATACTTTGGATGATGGAGCCTTCTCCTGTTATGCCCCAAAGCTGTGGAATTCTATCCCCAGGGATATCAGAGAGTCTCCATACCTGAGCACTTTCAGATCAAGACTCGGCGCCTTCTTTAGAGAAGGGCTTTTATTTAATTAGTTCTCGGTCCGCCCTTTTGCTTTCCTGCTGTATTCCAAACCCTTATTGTAATTAAGTCATTCTGCTGTCTTCTCTCATTGTGTGCTTTTTTTCTTACAGTAAAGCACTTTGAGAAGCAACTTCTAAAGGTGCTAAATAAAATCAATTTGGTCATAGAAATGTTTGAATCTAGAGTCTTGCAAGGGTTGATTTTGAAAGAGCTCCTTCACTGGCTTTGAAAGAGCTTGTCATATCTCCGTGACAAGCTGCTTGTCTGACTGAGGTACTGTATGTGTAGCTGGTTGTATGCTCCAGTGTGGGTGTTTCCTTGTGATCTGGTGCAAATGACCAGCTCCTGCAATGTTATTATGGGGTTTTTATATTTTACTAAAATTATCCATTTATGCATCTTGATTCATGGGTGGTTAGCCTAGGCTGTCGGTTCCCCTTGGTTCCACAAGAGGGAGCTTTAGGAAAAGACCAGTGCCTGTCTTAAGTGTGGTTCTGGGCTCTAGTGTGGGTGGGTTTAAGCCAATTGCAACTGCCATAAATCAAAAACCACACAATCTTGTCTATGGACAAATTGGTTTCGTTTTCCTGCTGCAGTGATCAACAGCTCAGGTGTCTTGCAACAGGTATTTTCTAGACTTGACTTTATTTTAAAGCAAACCAGCTCCCCCTGTCCTGTTGGCAGAAGGTGTTTGCAGATGTGAGATGGCAGAGGAGAGGCAGGAGGGGTCCAGACACTACACTTAATCCCCTGGGCCTAGGATCTTACACATTGCATGAATTAGAATTAGCATAGAAGAGGCATAAGAGTTTAGGGCACGAGAAACAGGAATAATCATTAGGAAGAGTCTGCTCTCTACCTGCAAGTGTGTGTGCTGCTTTTCTTCACTTGAAATGAGTTCACAACCACTCAATTAACATCTGGTTTTATTTCACAAGATTATGAAAGTATCAGAAATGTTAAAAATGGC